TGTAAGAATCAAAGCTTCAGGAATTAAGGATTAGCAGACTACGTCATGCAGGTTGCTTAAAATCTTTTAACAACGTAGTCTTTTTATTTGAATTCTTAATGAAGCAGCTAGTGTTCGTATGGAATGCTTATACATGTATGCTGTACGCATCCTTCCTTCTCCTACAACCTTACAATCATTTCATACAATTATATAAAGCTTATATTTATATATATACATATAATGATTAAAACAGTTGATCCAAAAACTCCTTCTTCACTATTACAGGCTTCAATTTATTTTGTCAGATGAAAAAAATGGAAATAAATTGAAACCAGTGAAATATTAGAATTGAACCCAAAAGGATTTATATTTTAACTGTTTTGATCATTATAGAGTGTGAGTACACACTCATACATCATCTGATGATCAAATATTGTCCAACTGTCTGTACCAAGAAACATTATGCATGTTTAATATGATAATGAATTTCAACTATTCTTTACATGTTTTAAATGCTATGTAGCATTCCAAATAATCCTCTTCTTCCCCCTTCCCAATATTTTATGTTCATTGATTCACTCCCCTGTCTGTTAATCTCTCTCTTTCCCTCCACAGATCTCATCCATATTCAAGCTCATCGAAGCCTTGGACTTTAGTTCACATATAACATTGTTACTAAGTAAGTAAAGCAGCCTTCCTCCCTCCATATTCTCAACACATTAATGCATGTCAGCCCAGTAGATCGAGACCAATCAATCGATTCAGAGTAATGTAGCAGAGCCAGGTTTCATCACTTCTTCATCAGTAAATGTGTGCTGAATTAGTACTACAGGTTAGATGAGATGGAGCATGTGGTTCAGCCAAGGCTGTGCTTACAAATACAGAGAAAGGGAGGCTTGTATGTCTGGCCTACAGGTTAACAGCCTCCCCCCTCCCCCCCCCCCCCCCCCCCCTTGGAGCATGAGCAGAAAATTGTATTTACACAATCACAAAAAAAGGTATGGTATACAGGTGAACAGATAGAAGACACCCCTCTTTTTGCACTTTCTGCATAATTTCTAATCCAGAGCAAGAATTTACAACAATCTGGATAAAAAGATATGAAATAAAATATCACTACAAGGAGACACTTAAGTGCTAGGCCTATAGGTTAATAGGAACCCCCCCCCCCCCCAACCCCCTTTTTTTTCTCACTCTCTCCGACTTAGTCTGAAAATTTTCAGCTTTGACTGCCAATAAAAATGATGAAGAAAGGTTTGGCATTCAGATGACCATTAGACCCCCACCCCCAACCTGGTCCCCAGTATATCCAGCATAGACTGCTGAACACACCTAAAAACTCATGTTAAATGACACCCCTCCCCCCCCCCCCCCACACACACACACCCTAACATGACCTCAACATGTTATTCCCAACATACTAGTACTAGTTACTGCATCGAAATTACCTGTAACGTACCTTTTAAAAATGGAAATAAATTCAGCTGACCTTATTGATATCGATCTCATATACATGATTTACAAAATATACTATGTATATATGGTAAGGTAATTAAGTTACCCCTTGACAAAATCTAGAATTTTTTACCATGATATGAGACATGGTTGATGGTTGATGGTTGATATTCGTTATGTATATCTTATTATGAAATATTGTATGATATTCATTGGAACATGTGTTCAAATATGTTATCTTGAGATTGATTTTCAATAAATGGCCTGTTGGAGGGTCCAAAAAATGGAAGAAAAAAAAAAAAATGATATGAGACATACGTCAGTGGTTTCATTTTCAAATCCTCAAGAAATATGAGATGGGTTTGTTTCTTCCCATACACCTACGCTATTCTAAGGTGGTGGGAAAACAAGACATAAACATTGAAAAATACCTTCCTGATGACGCACAAAGTTTGAGAAAAACTGTGGTAGCTTTCGAGATAGAGAAGTAAACAAAGTGAATGAATACTTAGAAGAATGCAGACAAAATATTCCCTCAATATCACACTTGAACATATACCATCTTTAAAATATTATAGTCTTTCTCTCTCTCTCTCTCTCTCTCTCTCTCTCTCTTTCGATCTTGCTCTTTCTCTCTTGTAATTATAGCATTTACATTTGTTCTGCTGTAACCTGGATATTTTCTAGTTCATGTTATGACATTTAATAAAGAACCTTTCAACAAACCTTTATGTGGACATACCTGTTTTCTAGCTTGAAATAACAAACATTATTTTCATGGTATGTAAAATGATACTTTTTGTTGTACAACCATGTTTTTTTTAAATATAGCGCAATTATAAGTGAAATAAAATATCTACTTCACAGAAAAAGTATATTAGACAAATGCATCTGTTGGTTTGCGTAAAACTAATTAAAAATTAAATTTCTGAGGTACATTTATTGGAAATCAGTCCTTATCATGATTGGAAGCAAAATTGCATGTAGTTACAATAAGGGTATTCCTTTCATAACAGGATATCTATCATATTTCAAGATGATCTGAATAAAAACAAAATTCTTCCTTTTTTTATAAAGATATATATCGATCTCTCCCTCACTAAGCATTTATTTTCTGTATCAAAACTTGTCAAAGTTTACGTTCTTGCATTCCAAGCGAAACTAAAAACTGCTACTTTCATGATTATGTCAGAAAATATAATATATGGGGATCTTTTTTATCCAAGTCATCCCTTTAAAACATCTTTTATCTTATCTCAGAAAGAAAGTGATTCGATCCAAGCATGTTGGCCACCTGCCTCTAGTTTCATTTCATCTTTATGATCATAATGTAGAGAAATGAAAGTGTGGGAAAATGTTGTGATCAACTGCTAGACTGCGTGTTGGTGATCCATGATCGATAGACAGATTTATATTGCCTGCTGGTTACCATGGCAGTGTTCCACCTTCTTATACGCTGTCAAAGTAAATATTGAATAAGAAAATATAGAGATGCGTCTCCACAGTTTGTTTTGCCTCATTTTGGGGGGTTCTTATTTGTGTTATTTTGACTTTTTAGTATTGTGTGTATTTTGGAACTTGCCTTACAAGTTTTAGCAATCATTTGTTTGGTTTCCATTACCGGTAATCACATATATGTGTGTATACAGATTCTGTGTATTTTACACTCTATATAACATTGTAATTGTTTTGTATGATTGATAAAATTAATAAATGAGACCTATACATACAAACCATTTGCTGCATATTTTCAATATTTTAATGCAATTCTTTAAAAACAAAACTGCCATCATCCCCACCTCTCAATATAAATATATGTTATAACCTCCCTTTGACCTTGAAATGCTGGACTGCAAGGGAAGGGAGGTTCACTGTGTATATGAGAAACAATTTTTTTGTCAGTAATTGGAACAACACTGCTAAGTTGTTCACTTAAGAGAGGTCAGACAATGTCAAAGTACCTGGAAGGAGTGAAGACATATGATATCATCGACATTGACAGAGGGAGCGAGATGGTTCATGCTCTAAGAATGCAAGTAACAAACAGGTCTCTCTCAACAAAAGAGGCCCACAAAGGGACCCTTAGCAGTTTAGAGAACCCCCCTTTCTTAAAAGATTTTCCTGAATAGTTACACAGAAGCACCTGTCCATTGTTATTTAGGTTAAGGTATATAGGATTACCCGTTTTTATCAATGGCTAAAAGGGAAATTTATGATGAAATCCTTTCCTAGACATATCGAATTAAGGGTTGCTGAAGCACTTTGTCAATGAAGGAAGCAGAGTGAAATTGTTCAATGTTTAAGAGTACTCCATTCAGAGGACTCAATTACTGTGCACTAGCTGCTCCCTGTTTATGATGGAAAAAAGAACTTTCAAGAAGTAATTTTTCTGTGGCACACTCAATGACCTACACTGAAATGAGAAGAACTAAGACTTAGCATATCAAGATTTTCACTTAAAGGTCAGACTAAATTCTAGAGTAAGCTGTAAAAAATAATTATATTCCACAAATTTCTATTACCAAATTGTGATTTAGGCTATTTACCTCATGAAAAATAAAGTCCCCCCCTCCAAAAAAAAAAAAAAAAAAAAAAACACCAATGCTGCACCTGGTGATGATCATGATAAACACAATCCTCTTTGACACTGATAAAAGTTCTCAAATTTTGTATGAACGTAAGAAGCTGATTAGCTGTGTAAATAAAGGAGTTCATTCACACTTGATAATCAAAGAAATGATCCTCCATTCTTTATCTTCATCCAATCATGAAATGCTTGATAAAAAGAGATTGCTCTCCTCATCTTCTTGGATGCATGCCCCTTCAAGAGGAGATGTAGGACAACTCAATTTATTCAGTATAATTGATACTCAACGTGACATGGATATGGTATGTCATTGCTAGGCAAGCTACAGAGGGGTGATGACCGTTCGTTGACCAGAAAGGTCAGAGAAAGAAAACTGGAAGTAACCAACCTATACTCATGTTTCAACTTTCAAGGAGAAGAGAGATGTCTTTGAGCCCTGTAAAAAGTTGCTGAATTTGTGATATTGAACTTACAGGCCTACTGGCTTAATCAGGAATGATTCCCAGGATTTGTAATTTTTGTTTCTTTAGTTTCTTTGCTGTATACTTCAAGTTAACAAAGTGCACTTCAGTTGTACCACCCACCCCCCCCTCCCCCCCCCCAAAAAAACCCACAGCAACAGTTGAATGATGTTAATTAAACCCCAAAATGAAGAAATGCAGGTTCATCTAGTCTATATGAGTAGTAGCTAGAGACTTGTAAGTCACTTGCACAAAGCAAAATCATCTCTAACATTCTCAAACTTGACCTTTCCTTGGTTGACAGTGCGTCTCAGTATTGGTTTGTAGTAATGGTCATACCAGTTATATCGTTTAATAGGTTAATAGCTAGTACACTTTTAGTTTACTTTAAAATCACTATTTTAAAAATATCAAATTAAGTTCAAACTTTATCTTACCATTAAATATAAACCAGAAAATTTACAAGAAATATTTTCAATACAAACTATATATTTAAGTAAAAGAAATCCACTTACCACATCGTCTGCCATTCTGTTTTCCATTCTCCACAACAGCTGGCTGAGCCTGATCCAAGCCTCCGTTACCAATGCATTCCTCCTGGACATCACCTGCTCCTCCTCCTACATAGCCATCCTCCACATCTACATCAGCCATCAACACATCCTCATCACCGTGTCCATCACCATGTCCGTCACCATGTCCTTCCCCATCACCAAGTCCGTTCCCAGCATCGGTCGCAACTTTACCGTCGATACCAGCGCTACGGAAGCTATCTTCCTCCATGACGCCGCCGCCAACAGCATCCCTTGTCTCTCCGGAAGTCATCGTCTTCTCCATCTCTCCACCGGTCTCTACCTTGCCTGTGGTGCCTTCCGAGTAGACTTTCTCATTGCTGTTCACCTCGTATGGGTTTGAGAAGGGATCGGGGGAGAGGATACCAGTCTCTGCTGGGTTATCCATCATAGGATATTGTCTGTCTGCCTGTCAGCTTCGGAGCGTCTGATGGATGCAGCAGAGAGGGGACGGGATAGGTTTGGTAAAAACTCTTCACTCGAGCGTTGCGCACTTCTGGAAAAGTAATCAGTGCACAGAGGAGTAACAATTAGCCATGGTAGAAAGATTATAAGCAATTGTGTATGCAATTATGTGCTGTGCCGTTTAGAGAAATGCTACAGAGAATGATTACCGTATTGTGATAGACTAGGTGTTTACCAATAGATTCTACGTAATTTTCTTCTATTTCTCTCTGCAATATTTGTTAATTACATTCTCACAAAACAGATTCACCAAATACTATGTATATTCTATCATGTATTACTTATGTAGTTTGAACGTGATATGATGAAACACCAAATGTATTACACTGTATCAGGAAAAAGGAAAACAGACATTTCAAATGGCATATGTAGTTCTACTTCTTTTAATTATGTATTGCAGTGATACATTCCTTTCTCTATTTTCATCACTTTCATTATTTCATCACTTTCATTATGAAATGGACTTTTACTTTCCATGTACTTAATATTACACCCTCCATTTCCACTACCTCTGAGGATCTGTTTCGTTGCTTTAGTCCCTTTGTTATCAATATGAGCCTCACTGCGGTTTCTGCCATTTGTGGCAATGATGAGTGGCCCTCTAATTTGATTAGACACCTACCCTTGTACTAGAGCATCATGTTGTGGGATTAATAAGGCTAAATAGAGTAGATTAATCACCGATAGTCATAGATCAGTTGTCGAGTATCCCAATATTACCTTGAAGAAGAGGTTAACTACCGGTAGCTCAGTTTTCTCTGTCAATTTTTTTTCTTCTTTTTAATATAATGTTCTCAAAAGGGGAATGATTTCTCGAAAGTGGATTCCAACTATAATATTTGTGTGGGGTGTGGGTGTGTGTGTGCATTCCTGTATGTGTGTTGGGAAGAATATCCATAAAGCTGAAGACAAATTTTCTGGAAAATGATATAGAACATACATTCATCCATACAAAGCAACAATATAACCGTTATTTCATTTAAATTACACAATGTACATGGATTGTTATAGTCAGATTAACATTCTTACATTTTGGATGTTATTGAGATCATTGTTAATGTTTTATTTCAATTTCAATTTTTATTTCTGATTTTTATTTTAGTAATTAATTTAACAAGGTGAAATGTATTGTTGTTACTGATTGACTGGTTCCTTTAATGAACCTTTGCTCAAGGGCGGTATGGTCAGGTGTGAATGTAATTTCCCTCTTGGATCCTCCTAACTTCATGCTGTTTACACCAGATAGATAGGAAACTTGACCTTTATGATCCAGGTGACAGCTAGTAGTCAGAAATAGATTCATCCATGTTCTACATTGAGACACTCCCTATCCCATCCCCTAATGCATTACTTCTCCATGGCAAGGACTTTAACTGACTCAAAGACTTGGCTTCCAATACCTTATTTTTTTATTTTTTTATATAAAAAGTACATTTGAAAACACATTTAGGTTCTTAAACTCATATCTTTTATTCATTATTAAAAGTTTTCTCTCAACTTGCTCCTTCATCTGCTCCATATCCCTTTCATGTTTGATACAAGTGGATCAATTTTATTAAATGTAGTTTTCTGAGATGAATTTAAGTCTCTAACTAACACATAGATTATAGATTATTTATCATGTAAAATTGTGTTAACCTTTGTTTTTGGTGCTTGTCAGATTCTGTTAGAGCTGTGCCCCCCCCCCCCTTCTAGATCTGCCCTTGGGCACCAAAGATGTTTTTAACCACAACATTGATTTCATTACCAAACTAGATGGAATTTTGACTGCGCGCAGTCGAAAATGATGCCTCCGCCATAGAGCAATTTAAACAAGTTTGGAGTTTAAATCTCCAGTGGCTCTTGAGATATCATGATAACAATCTCAATGTATGGAATTTCATAAGTTGACCTCTGTGACCCTTGACCTTTGACCTACGTGCTCCAAAATCTAATCAGATTGTCTTCCTATGGTGATACACACTATCATTAAGTTTGAAGTTTAAATCTCCAGTGGTTCTTGAGATATTATGATATGGTGATACATACTATCATTAAGTTTGAAGTGAAAATTCTCCAGTGGTTCTTGAGATATCGCGATAACGATCTCAATGTATGGAATTTCATAAGTTGACCTCTGTGACCCTTGACCTTTGACCTACGTGCTCCAAAATCTAATCAGATTGTCTTCCTATGGTGATACACACTATCATTAAGTTTGAAGTTTAAATCTCCAGTGGTTCTTGAGATATTATGATAACAATCTCAATGTATGGAATTTCATAAGTTGACCTCTGTGACCCTTGACCTTTGACCTACGTGCTCCAAAATCTAATCAGATCGTCTTCCTATGGTGATACATACTATCCTTAAGTTTGAAGTTTTTACATCTCCAGTGGTTCTTGAGATATCGTGATAACAATCTCAATGTATGGAATTTCATAAGTTGACCTCTATGACCCTTGACCTTTGACATACGTGCTCCAAAATCTAATCAGATCGTCTTCCTATGGTGATACATACTATCCTTAAGTTTGAAGTTTAAATCTCAAATGGTTCTTGAGATATCGCGCTAACAAACTCAATACAAGGAATTTCATAAGTTGACCTCTGTGACCTGTGACCTTTGACCTACGTACTCCAAAATCTAATCAGATCGTCTTCCTATGGTGATAAATACTATTCCCGAGTCTTAAGTTTATATCTTAAATGGTTCTTGAGATATTGTGATAACGGTCAAACGGGACGGACGTACGGACGTACGGACGGACGTACGGACGTACGGACGGACGTACGGACGTACGGACGTACGGACGGACAACCCGAAAACATGATGCCTCCGGCACCACCTTCGGTGGCGGAGGCATAAAAATGTTTGGCAATAAAAAATGGCTATCAATTTCCCACTCCTCTCTCTCTCTCTCTCTCTCACACACACACACACAAACTTTTCCTTACTCTCTCTCTCTCTCTCTCTCTCTCACAGTCCCTCAACCTCCCTCTCTTCCTCTCCATCTGTTGCTCCTTTTCTCCCTCACTCCGTCTCTTCCTCCGTCCCTCCCTCTCTCCCTCTTGTTTTCTTCCTACCACCCTCTCTCTCTCTCTCTCTCTCTCGGATCTCTACCTCACCCTCAGTCACGTCACATCGCTGCATACAAACATCCCACTGGCAGTGTCACGGTGGGGAAGGTACAAACAGAGAATAGGGCACTAATGTGGCGTGGCATAAACACCTAGGGTGACTAGATACCTCGTTAGAGGCTGCGTCATTGAATAGTGATGAGCACAGCTGGATCTCAAAAGAACCTGATTTCAAACTCTCATATTATATGATTTCTTGAGATTAGAAGCGCTCTTTTTCAATCAAATATATTTTCTAGGTATGTAACAAGGTTTGCTTTTTTTTCCTCAAATTTGCTGGAAGATTTTATTATTGTGTTTTATTCATATGCTATATTCAACAACAAGAGTAAAGGTTCAAAGTAAATATGTTTTCTTGAGTTTCCACATTCTTCCAAAAACACTTTGACAAAAATGTCCAGAAATGTTTACCTTTTCCCATATTTTCATTTCAATTTGTCTTACATCAATAAGACTTCTTCATGCTACAAGTTTTACAAGAACATCACTTTTGCATATCCATTATTGCTCATTATGAAGTTAATGTATCATGCAGAGCTAATCATGATTATTCTTTTTTTCTTAAACAAGCAAGTACAAAATACTCAGCCTAGACTGAAATTACCTCTCTGATGCTATTTCACCAGACAATCTAGCATTTGAAGTTCTCTTGAATTAATGTTATCCCCACATGGTAACATATCTGATGTGGGTTTTTTGTTCAGTCAATGCTAATTATGTAAGGTGTGAAATTAATAGACAGCAAGGAGTGTACCTGAATCATGAAATACAAACCATCGATTTTTATTCCTGTGCTGGAATACAAAAACATATTCCCTGAGTGGAAAAATACGTATTAGTTTGTGGTAAGCTTCTCAATCAGCATGATATTAAATAGATGCTTCCTGTAAGAGAAGCCACATCCCTGTCAATTGAATTATTGAACATTGAAAAGAAATGTTTCTCATGTTGTGTCCAATTATCCGATGAACATGCCCCGCCAAAATTCTATCTATCTTATCATTAAAAGTTTGAGTCATAATTTAATCAGTGAGGTTTTGTTGTCCCAAGTACTGTTAACTTTGTTTTTTAATTTGCTTAACACTTAGCATACTTTATTTCTTTACATGTTCTAATTAGTAGTGTAATTCAATAAAATATAATTGACCTCTTCTTTCTGAAATGTACAGCAGACACAGTTTTGCAATTAGTTGTAATACTATACTGTATTTCTGAAAACATTCCCATTTTTTAAAAAGGCAATGAATTCAAATACTTTTGATATATTTATTTCTAATGTACAGCAACCTTTTGGGCAACCTTTTTTTTAACAGTCTTTTTTTCTGAAGATTATTTTCAGTTTAACAAGACAAAAGACAATTAATTGAATTAAATATATTTGATTTATTTTCTCTTTTTTTCTACTGTAGTAGACTTTGTTTGAAAACTTGTTCAAGCAAAATAAATTTGGGTGTACTCGATTTTATTTTATTTCTAATTAAAATATAAAATAGTACTGATAATAATTTATGAAATATTAAATGTATGCACTAACAATTTCCTTGTATGCACACATATGTTTTCATATCTTTAAGGTAAAGTCTATACATCACACGATACATTGTGTTCCAATGTATGGCCTTGGTTGAGCGACACAATATTTTTCAAGACGGACCGCAGAATAGAATCTTTGTTGACCTATTTCACACTTGAGACATAATAAAAGTCAGTAATGAAATCAAAGAGCTGAATTCAATTTAAGGCAGGCAACTGCCTCCAAACAGTGAATTAAGTTTTTAGGTAAAATCTTCATGTACCGGTACATATATGCCGTCTTGTTTAGGTTTCA